CATGCCATTAACCTGTCAAAGGATAAGACTAAATAAGTAGTTTGAATTTGATCTTGTTTGGAAACAGAACCCTACAGAACATGTGGGGGAAAGCTGGTGATATAAAAAAAATAAAATAAAGTATGTTTTATAAAGAGTCACTTGGCAATAGTGTGCTGGCTTAATTGAAATTTGAAGAGAAGAAAAGCTGAAGGTAAGAGGCCAGATAGAGTGGCTGCCTACTGTGGGTGTAAGGTCTGGTGGTAGAAAGGCAAGGAAGGACCATATAAATTGTTGATTGATTGAGCATGGGAAACCTCTGAAGGTTATGAAGCAGAAAGAAAGAGGAGTCCAGAAAGGAGCTGGTCTGAGAGGCAAGACCCCAAGTGTTATCTTAGACATGTTGAGTTTCAAGTGATGCCTGGATAATTCAAGTGAATATATTTAACCCTCAGTTGGGGACAGATTGGCATAGAAAAGAAAACATACCTCTTTAGTATGTTATTTGAAAACATGTGCACTTTCCAACAACTGTTCATTCTTCCAAACCATTCTGTCATAGTTATTAAACTATAATAGGAATCTTCATTAATGAAAGAGCCCAGAAATCATACAGTGACTAACACTAATCTATAATTTAGTAAACTTGGATTCTAATCTTGTCTCTACCCTGAACTATGAGGCCTAAGGTAAGTCATCTACCTTCTCACTATATCAGGACTAATTTCCTTCATTAACAGTGAAAGGATTAGACCAGTCTCTTCCAGCATGAAAGTGCCTTGATTCCATAAGCAGGAAGGACTGCCATTGTTATGCTTTTCAAGTCCTCCTAATTTGGAATGTGATACCAATATTAGTTTTCCATTGAAATTGTTAACAAATTTGCCCGAACTTGGGGACTCAGCAGAAATGTTTTTTGTTTGTTTGTTTGTTTGTTTTTTTAAGTCAGGTAGATCAAAAATTCAACATGGGTCTCACTGGGCTAAAATCAACCTTTTGAAGACTGGGTTTCACCTGGAGGTTCTTGGGGAAAACCATTTTCTGGCCCTTGACAGTTTCTAGAGGCCCCCCGTATTCCTTGGCTCATGGTTGCTTTCTTCCACCTTCAAAGTCAGTGTTGGCAGACCTAGGCCTTCTCACATCACCTCCCTTGGACCTTGTCTTCTGTTTCCCCCCTTCCACTTGAACAACTCCTGTGATTACATGGGGCCCACTGTGTAGTCTAGCATAACTTCCCTATCTCAAGGTCCTTAACATTACCCAACCTGCAGTGTCCGTTTTGCTATGTGAGGTGATACGCATATTCATGGTTTTAGGAATTGGGATGCGGACATCTTAGGGGAACATTATTTTGCCTACCAAGATATCTTTTTCCTGAGAAAACAGGACACCATCTTATGTTCTTTTTCTATTCCTTTTGCTTCATATAATATTGAAATCTTCTCCAGACATTTTACTGTGCCACATAAATATATATTTCAATAATTTTTAATCTCTCAAAGTTTAAAATATGGCAGTGATTGTTACCAAGGTATATGTTGAATGATTTTTAAAAAATTTCTTAATCCTGCCATTCAACAAACATAAAACTTAGCAAAGAGTAATATTTGAATTTAAAGTGGAAAACTTTTTATTAAATATGGTGAGAATATAATCATGTTTGCTTTAGAAAATAATGCAAATATTAATGAGTGAAAAAGTAAACTGTATTATAGCATTTTACTTTTTAAAGCTTTTTGCTAAAATGATATTTTTTCAAAATAAAAGCATATCTAATCTTAGACCAACTCCTTTTTCTATTCACTGACCTTGGCTTGACAGAAAGAATATTACATTGAGTGTTTTGATTTCTATCTATAAACAATGACAAAAGCAGTATTTGTCTTTGACAGAATCATGAGGTTTCGTTAATTGAGATTTGTGAAAAGAGGTCCTCTAGAAGAGGAGGTGTCTTTATTCCTTTGTAACATGCTCATTTCAAAGTACCAATAGAAACAGTTGCAATAATGCTACAAATAGAATAGAAATATAAATTTAAAAGGGCAGCAAGTGGTAAGGTGGTACAAGAATTTCATTGTCATGCAAACATTACTAGAGATGATGAATCTAGATGGAAAAGTGTATTACCAAGGAATTATGCTGAGTTGTTTTTCTCAGTTAAATTTCCAGAAAACAATTCAGAGTCCTGAAAAGTATTGTATGAGAAATAGAAATTATTAAATTAGAGAATAATCACCCTCAAAGCTTCATGTTCTCTATAAAACTAACTATGGGCCTTTTTTTAAATAGACTCTTAAAAATCTCACCAAAATATTCATTTTATTCTAATTAACTAAACAATGTTTCCCTCAAGAAGGGGAAAGAGGGACACAGACACTTTGCATTCCTGCTTGCAACAAGAGCCAACCTAAACTCTGCCCATGCAATGTCTTAATGACACAAGGGAAATGGCTAAAACCACACTGGAAATAAAAAATGCCTTTAATACTTTCTTCATCTCATGAAGAAACTGGACAAAGCAAATCAGATGTCCCACTTGTTTCCTTGGTTTACATTTGTTTCTTTCTCCAACTTCCCCTCTTGGTTCCTGGCTCTATTAATTGTTCAGGTTTTTTGAATGGGAGCTGAGGAAAATGTATGTAGCATGGTTTATTTTCAACAGTTACTCAATTCTATCTGAGATATGTTGCAGAAGAAGGCAGGTTGGACTGGTTGGGTGAGATGGTTGTCTAATACATGGAAAAGGAAAGACGACATTTAGCTTCTGTCTTTTGTCATTTGTTCTCCAACCACAATTTCATCACTTAATCATTATAATCTAGTTAGGGAATCAGTATTACATCTTACAGAGTAGATTTGTGTCTGTTATTCAAAAATACTTATGAAATCTTTTTGCTTCTGGACTAATGTATTTATTGTTTATGTCCCATGATTTAATGTTTTATGGTCTATTTATAGTTTATACTGTATTGTTTCCCCAATACAATGTGCACATTCTTGAATTTTTGTTCACTGTCCCAGAAATGTCCTTTTGCCTTCTCCCAAGCAGACACATTCCAGTCAACCTTCAAAACTCAGCTCTCCTTTTTCTTGTATTATGAAACCTTGCATAATAATGCAGCCTATGGTGTCTCCTTTTTCTGCATTCATATAGAACCTATCTTTGGGCTGAGCCATATGTTTCTCTGTGTGTGTGTGTGTGTGTGTGTGTGTGTGTGTGTGTGTGTGCACGTGTGTGTGTGTGATTATTGTCTTTCCAACTAGATGCTAAGAAGATTCTTAGAGGCAGGGATTGTTTGCTGTATATCTTTGTAGCCTGACACTGCCTAATGTTGCGCAGATTTTAGGTTACTTGTAATTTGTCAGGACTCTTGGTTGCAAGTTAAAGAAACCCAACTCATATACCAACTTAAGCAATGAAGAAGGTCCAGGGATGAATCTGACTGAAGATTTTGTCATACCTAAATTAGGTTTCCAAATTTATCATTAGAAATCTGTCCATTATTTATTATCTCTGCATTCCTTTGTTTTGGCTTTGTTTTCCAGTAGCAGCTGCCTAAATTGTGCCTTTTGGGAGTAAAGGGAGAGCTTCATTCTCTCAGTAGATGCAGAGAAAGTCCCGGGGCCGATGTTCATTGGCTCCCTTGGACTGTATTGCATTATATGCTTACCCCAGACTAATAATCACCATTGTCAAAGGGAAGCAATTGAGTCATTGTCTTGGCCGGAGTTACATGGTCCTATAATGAGCCAGGGAGTGAGAACAGTTGCTCTCTCATTCCCCTAACATAGGCACTAAGATTGGAGGAGGGGTGGTTGCCCAAAGGAAAAACAGGGCTTTTGTGCCAACACAATGGGAAGTGGATACCAGATAGGAAAAACCAAGATGTCCACTGAGGAGTTCAGTACCTGTTTGCTGATTGATGAACTAAACATCTTTGTAGGAAAGAAGTCAGGTTTGTACATATTCTGTACCATTTTTAACCTTCATCCAAAGTATTTTACAGTTAGGATGGTGCTGTGTATCCTCTAAATGCTCACGGCCCTGTTGGAGGTGGATGTGAGGGGATATGACTTATGACTTTGGCTCCCTCCTGATATATCACTAGGGTTAGAAAGCTGTTACTCTCTCAAGGGTGGATTAACAACTGTGCTTACCTGTTTGAACCTTTCAATAGGATCTCTGAGATCTTTTGTGGAAGAGTGAACAGAACAGCAGTCTCTCATTGTGAGTTGTGATGGTGTTGGCCAAATGGCTTCATGATAAAACTAGGTAGCATTATCAACTAATAATATTTCCCAGTTACCAGTTGTGAGACTCTTTTGGATTCTCTCACTGAGAGCTGTGTTGATTTCAGAAGATTATAAAACATAGAAATGTTAAGCTTTCAAAGTTACCATTATTTCAAACATAAATTGTCAATACATGTGAACTAAATTGGCTAACAGGGTTTTTGATTGCTTATTTTGTACAGTGAGAAGTAAGATCATAGATATTTGAAGTACAAAAATTTAATTCGTGTCTAAGGGAACTTGCCTGAGACCCAGCCAGTGAATATCTTAATGAATAGTGCAGACAGTAAACAAAGAATTTTAGGAAGATTAATTTCCATGGGAACTGCATGCTGGGCAGGTAAAACCAAGATGCCCATTAGGAAGTTCAGTAAATATTTGCTGATTGATCAATTTAATACACCTGAAAGACAAAGGTCATGTTCATGTAGATTCTGTATCATTTTTTTCACCTTCGTTTCTAACACTTTATGGTTAGACTACATAATAATTGAATAAAAGCAGACGTAATCTTCCATCATTTGAGTTTTGTTTAGCAGTTGAGTATGACTTTCTTAGCTAGTTAAGTTTGTGTTTTTATGTGTGAGAAAAAAGCAATTCAAGCATAAATAGAATAGTGTGTCCTTTAAAAATCAATGTTCTGAAACCTCTGAGAAAGCGAATATTTATTTTAATTAAAAAATTTATTGAACACTGCCTTAGTTTTATTTTTAATCTTTACTTTTTAGAACTGGAAGATAAGCAAGAATCTACAGCTGGTGCCTGTTCGAGTATTAGTTTGTTCTTACAAATGTTTTACTCAGCGTGACCCTAACCTCTTTGGAATTGCTCGGGTGTAGAACAGGTGAGATGCTCATTCACAGCCTCACTTGACTTGCCCTGTCAGCTCTGCATACACAGTCAGATTATGTCCTACTTAGGATACCATGCTGTGTCTGTTCCCTTTGACAACACATTAAATAAAGGAAGAAAAAGAATTATATTATGATGTTCCCAATTTAATCACTATAGTCTGCCTTTAGCTTGCTTAGATTCTAGTTGTGCTTTTTTTTTTTTTTTTCTTTTGGCTTAAAAACAAAAAATTAAAAAAGGAAAAATAAGATATGTGTGGCAAGTGAGTTATTTCTTCCTACTGTTTTATGACCACCATTCCTCTTTTTCTAGATGAGTATTGAAAGACTTTGATGGGGAAAAGTATTTATTTTATGAATGTTTTACAATCACTGTTTAGTACTAGGTAATCATATTACATTTATGTGATTTCATTTGAGGCACTAATATCTATTGACCTTCACACAAAAAATGAGAAGAAACCTGAAAAGTCAGGTTTGGTAACTCCTAATGTCACTTTGTGACTGTTTTTAATTTTTTTTCTCTCTTTTTAAAATAATTTTTTACATGATAAACTGTCCAGGCAGTAATGCCGAAATGATAATTTGGCTTATTTTCTTTGAAGGACAACAGAAAAGTAGAAAAATAACTTATGAAAATATATGGTACACTTTGCACAGACCAGTAGTTCTTGGAAGTGTGTTCTGTTCAGCACCCTCCACATCAATTGAGAACATGTTAGAAATAAAAATTATCTATCCCCACCCCAGAACCACTGAATTAGAAACTTTGAGAGTGTGGCCCAGGAATTGCTATTTTAACAAACCCTCCACGTGATCTCTTTGCATGCTCAAGCTTGAGAACCACAGGATAGACTCAGAAAAAGCTGCTGCATGTTCAGAAAAGTAGGAAATGTGATTATAATTTTATATTTTAAACCCCAACAGAAATGTATTTCTTCTTGTCACTACCTGTGATTCTTCTGGGGGAAAGCTAAGTGGAATCTCATCTTCCAGGTAGTTATTATCAGGTTACCTTCCTAGCAAGGCCTTTTATGAGTTTAGTGCAGGTTCTTTATGCATCAGAGTTGCCTCTGGCATAACTGAGAAATAAAATCAATGGAGCACAACAAAGAGATCCTCAACTCCAGAGAGCAAAGTACAGGCCCCACTGAGACAAAGATGGGGCTTCAAGGTAACTTTCTAAAGGCTCCATTAAACAAGAATGCATTTTTAACAAAAATAAAAAACCAAGTGCAAATGAAAGACATAGGAGCTCATCAAAAATGTATTACAGGGGTAAAGTATGTATGCTTATTGAGGGAAAATTGCTCAGTAAATTGATTTTGATTAGGAAAATAATTTCTTATAACCTAAGCTGTAGAAAAAGTATGTTCACTTTTTTTTTCTTTTTCTTCAAAAACAAAAAAAAAACCCGGGATACATGTGCAGAACATGCAGGTTTGTTACACAGGTATATGTGTACCATGGTGGTTTCCTGCAACTATTGATCCATCCTCTGAGTTCCCTCCCCTCATCCTCTATCCCCAACAGGCCTCGGTGTGTGATGTTCCCCTCCCTGTGTCCATGCGTTCTCAATGTTCAACTCCCACTTATGAGTGAGAAGATGTGGTGTTTAGTTTTCTGTTCCTGTGTTAGTTTGCTGAGAATGATGGTTTCCAGCTTCATCCATGTCCCTGCAGAGGACATGATCTTATTCATTTTATGGCTGCATAGTATTCCATGGTGTATTTGTGCCACATTTTCTTTATCCAGTCTATCACTGATGGGCATTTTGGTTGGTTCCATGTCTTTGTTCTTGTACATAGTGCTGTAATAAACATACCTGTGCATGGTCTTTATAGTAAAATGATTTATATTTCTTTGGGTATATATACCCAGTAATGGGATTGCTGGGTTAGATGGTATTTCAGTTTCTAGATCCAAGAGGAATCACCACACTGTCTTCCACAGTGGTTGAACTAACTTACTTTCTCACTAACAGTGTAAAAGCATTCTGGTTTCTCCAGAGCCTTGCCAACATCTATTATTTCCTGTTTTTAATAATTGCCATATTAAATGGTGTGAGATGGTATCTCATTGTGGTTTTGATTTGCATTTATCTGTTGATCACTGATGTTGAGCTTTTCTTCATATGTTTATTGGCCACATAAATGTCTTCTTTTAAGTGTCTGTTCATATCCTTTGCTCACTTTCTGATGGATTATTGGTCTTTTTTCTTGTAAATTTGTTTAAGTTCCTTGTAAATTCTGGATATTAGCCCTTTGTGAGATGGATAGATTGCAAAAATTACTTCCCATTCTGTAGGTTGCCTCTTTACTCTGATAATGGTTACTTTTGCTATGCAGAAGCTGTTTAGTTTAATTAGATCTTGTTTGTGTATTTTAACTTTTGTTGCACTTGCTTTTGGTGTTTTAGTTATGAAGTCCTTGCCCATGCCTATGTTCTGAATTGTACTGAATCGGCTTTTTTTCTAAGGTTTTTATGGTTTGGGGTTTTACATTTAGTTTTTAATTTATCTTGAGTTAATTTTTGTATAAGGTGTCAGGAAGGTGTTCAGTTTCAGTTTTCTGCATATGGCTACCCAGTTTTCCCAGCACCACTTACTGAATAAGAGATCTCACCCCATTGCTTGTTTTTGTCAGGTTTGTCGAAGATCAGATGGTTGTAGATGTGTGGTGTTATTTCTGAGGCCTCTGTTCTGCTCCAGTGTTCTACATGTCTGTTTTAGTACCAGTAACATGCTGTTTTGATAACTGTAGCCTTGTAGTATTGTTTGAAGTCAGGTAGCATGATGCCTGTAGCTTTGTTCTTTTTGCTTAGGATTGTCTTAGCTGTACAGGGTCTTCTGTGATTCCATATGAAATTAAAATTCTTTTTCTAATTCTGTGTAAAATGTCAATGGTAGTTTGATGGGAATAGCATCAAATCTGTAAATTACTTTGGGTAGTATGGCCATTTTCATGATTTTGATTCTTCCTGTTCATGAGGATGGAATGTTTTTCCATTTGTTTGTGCCCTCTCTTTTTTCCTTGAACAGTGGTTTGTAGATCTCCTTGAAGGGGCGCTTCATGTCCCTTATAAGTTGTATTCCTAGGTTATTTTATTCTCTTTGTAGCAATTGTGAATGGGAATTCACTCATGATTTGGCTTTCTGCTTGTCTATTATTGGCGTATAGGAATGCTTTTGATTTTTTGCGCATTGGTTTTGTATCCTGAGACTTTCTTGAAGTTGCTTGTCAGTTCAAGAAGTTTTGGGGCTGAGATGATGGGGTTTTCTAAATATAAAATTATGTCATCTCCTAACAGAGACAACTTAACTTCCTCTCTTCCTAGAATACCATTTCTTTCTCTCTCTTTCTTTTCGTTTCTTTCTTTTTTCTTGATTACCCTGGTCAGAACTTCTAATACTATGTTGAATAGGAGGGGTGAGAGAGGGCATCCTTGTCTCGTACCAGTTTTCAAAGGGAATGCTTCCAGCTTTTGCTTATTCAATATGATAATTTTCTGTGGGTTTGTCATAAATAGCTCTTATTATTTTGAGATATGTTTCATGAATATCTAGTTTATTGAGAGTTTTTAACATGAAGGGATGTTGAAGGCCTTTTCTGCATCTATTGAGATAATCATGTGTTTTTTTCCACTGGTTCTGTTTATGTGATACATTATGTTTATTGATTTGCATATGTTAAACCAGCCTTGCATCCCAGGGATGAATCTGACTTGATCATGGTGGATACATTTTTTGATGTGCTGCTGGATTCAATTTGCCAGTATTTTGTTGATCATTTTTGCATCGGTGTTCATCAGGAATATTGCTGAAGTTTTCTTTTTTTGTTGTGTCTCTTCCTGGTTTTGGTATCAAAATGATGCTGGCTTTATAAAATCAGGGAGGATTTCCTCCTTTTCAATTGTTTGGAATAGTTTCAGAAGGAATAGTACCAGCTCCTCTTTGTATTTCTGGTAGAATTCAGCTGCGAATTCATTTGGTCATGGACTTTTTTTGGTTGGTAGGCACTTAATTACTGCTCCAGTTTTAGAGCTTGTTATTGGTCTATTCAGGGATTCAACTTCTTTCTGGTTTAGTCTTGGTAGGGTGTATACATCCAGTAATTTATCCATTTCTTATAGATTTTCTATTTTATTTGTGTAGAGGTGTTTATAATATTCTCTAATGATATTTTGTATTTCTGTGGGGTCAATGGTGATACCCCCTTTATCATTTTTATTGCGTATATTTGATTCTTTTCTCTCTTCTTTATTAGCCTAGCTAGTGGCCTATTTGCTTTTTTAATTTTTTCAAAAAATCAGCTCCTGGATTCATTGATTTTTTGAAGGGCTTTTCATGTCTCTATCTCTTTTAATTCTTCCCTGATCTTAGTTATTTCTTGTCTTCTGCTAACTTTTGGATTAGTTTGCTTTTGCCTCTCTAGCTCCTTTTTTTTTTTTTTTTTTTTTTTTTTTTTTTTTTTTTTTTGAGATGGAGTTTCGCTCTTGTTACCCAGGCTGGAGTGCAATGGCGCGACCTTGGCTCACCGCAATCTCGGCCTCCTGGGTTCAGGCAATTCTCCTGCCTCAGCCTCCTGAGTAGCTGGGATTACAGGCACGTGCCACCATGCCCAGCTAATTTTTTGTATTTTTAGTAGAGACAGAGTTTCACCATGTTGACCAGGTTGGTCTCGATCTCTTGACCTCGAAATCAACCCACCTCGGCCTCCCAAAGTGCTGGGATTATAGGCGTGAGCCACTGCGCCCAGCCCTCTCTAGCTCTTTTAATTGTGATGTTAGGGTGCCAATTTGAGATCTTTCTAGCTTTCTCATGTGGGAAGTTAGTGCTATATATTTCCCTCTTAACACTGCTTTAGCTGTGTTCCAGAGATTCTGGTACATTGTCTCCTTATTTTCATTGGCTTTAAAGAACTGATGGGCTTCCCTTTGTAAGGTGACCTGGCCTTTCTCTCTGGCTGCCCTTAACAGTTTTTCCTTCGACCTTGGAGAATCTTATGATTACGTGTCTTGGGATTAATCTTCTTGTGGAGTATCTCAATGGTGTTCTCTGTATTTCCTGAATTTACACGTTTGCCTGTGTTGCTAGATTGGGGAAGTTCTCCTGGATAATATACTGAAGTGTGTTTTCCAGCTTGTTTCCATTCTCCCCATCTCCTTCCGGTACTCAAATCAATCATAGGTTTGGTGTTTT